TTCAAATCCCAGTTCAGTCATTTTGTCATTGTGTGACCTTGGGCAACTTATTTAAGCTCCCTGAGCCTCATCTGAATTTGTAACTAGTAAGAATTTCTACCTCCCAAAGTTGAGGTTCAAGTGAGTTGATCCTAAGAAAGGATCTGGCACATAGTAGGTGCTCAGGAAAAGTTATTTCCCTGGGCCTTGAATCTCCTCTGTCCTGACCCCCCAGTGACCCCAGGCCTGTGGCTCCCTGAACCCTTCCAGCTCCACCCTAGAGTTTACTGGGTGCGGCAGCATTTCCTCTAGAAAGCCTCTGCCAGGAACTGACCGACTCCCATCTGCCAGGCTGACTGGAGCAGGCACCCTCAGCAGGAACTGTGCCCAGCGAGCTTCCTCCTCAAACTGGTTTGGGCTGCACCCCCCCCCCTCTGATCCAGCTGTGTGCTGGCGAAGCAGAAGGTGATGAGTTCTGCAGCTATTCAAAAAAGGAATGCTCCAAGCATTCCTCAATCACAGAGATGCATCCCAGTCTGAGGAAGCACCCTCAGCACTTCTCCCCTAGGTTGGGGCAAGGTGTCAGATGGGGGGCGAGGGAGGCAGTAGGGGTCACCACAAGCCCGCCTCTGCCTAGTTCTACTTCAGTCTCAAGCCCACATCACTGCGGTCAGGCTAGGCTATAGGGATCCTCATTGATGGAAAAGCTTCCTCCTTCTTCCTCCTTCTTCCTTCTACTTCTTTCCACTTTCCTCCTCAGGAATATCTTTAAGAAAAGCTCCCCCACTCGATGGATTAAATGTGCATGCAAAGAAATGGAATGGCACCTTTAATCAGGCATGGCCTGATTTGATTTTATACCACAGATTCATGGCTGGTGTAGCAACAACCCTCCCATAGTCCTGGACCCTTGAGCTTAGGTCAGAAGATAGGAAACTGGGGTGGAAAAAGGAGACCTAGAAATGGCAGACTTAGGAACCCTGTGTGGCTGGGCAGTTGTGCCCTAAGAACCCCAGAGCATTGCAGAGATGCGGGAAACACTGGAGGCTCAGGGGTCTCGCTGCCAATAACTGCATCATTGGATATCTGAGTGGGTCTCTTAGGAACTCAGTCTTCATGGATCTCTCTTTTTTGAAAAATATTTTGGGGGCCTCTCTGGTGGCACAAGGAGTTAATAGTACAACACTATGAAGCTGTCCACAGCCACTGCACCATGAGTTCAATCCCCGGCCAGGGAGCTGACCCACATGGTGCAGCAGACCTCTCCTGACTCGCCCGCTGCTCCGCTCAGCAGTGTACTTTAGTGGATCTGCCTGTTCTGCTCCCCACTCTGTCTCTGGTGAATCTTCTCAGCCACCCCCACCCTGCCCCACACCTCCAGCCTGTACCCAAGTTTTTGTATGCATAAATAAATAAATCTTTAAAAAGAAAAATATTTTGTTTTCCAGAAAAGTAGTCCATCAAATTTAGAAGAGTAGAAAGATGGGGTAGGAGGAAATTACCCATAGCCCTGCCATTTGAACACAACAATGACTCTTTTGCTGTATTTTCTTCAAACATTTGTTGGATTCCTACTGTATTCACAAATTGATCTAGGAGAAATTTAGGAATAATCCCCTACTCCTAAATTGTGCCTTTCAAAGTTCTGCTTTGGACAAAGAAAAGCTTGACAGTAATTTGTTCCTGGGGCTCCTGGATATGGACAGGTTGGGTCCCACCAGGTAGGGGGCTCCAGAAGAACCCCCAAACTTGGGCTCCACATAGCCACTCAGAAGGGAGTCGGGCAGGAGGTGACTAACCTGTGGGTTCGCTCTCTTGCCTTCCTTCCCTCCCACTCCCACCAGCTTTGTTATTTGAACTTTCACATTTAGATCCAATTAATTTGGGAGTGTGATACGAATTCATTTTTCAGGCTTCTTTTTTTTCCCTATGAAAATCTAATTGCTTCAGCTACTTTTATGGAAAAGATCATCTGTTCCCCACCGTGCTGCAGTGTCAGCTTTGTCATAGATTAAGTGACCTTGTATGTGGAGCTCTATTTCTGGACTCTCTTCTGTTCCCTCGGTCTATTTGTCAATCCTTGTGCCAATTCCACACTATATTAGTCACTGTCATTTTATAATCTGTCTGAGAGTGTCATCTTGATAGCTAGAAATTTTGATATCTAGTAGCATAATCCTCTAACTTTGTTCTTCAAGATGTCTTGGCTCTTCCTAATTTTTTTCTATTATGTTTTACAATCAGTCTGTTGATTCCTACCAAAAGGAATATGTTAGTGCTTTGACTGAAATGGAAATAACTCTGCAGGTTAATTTGGAAATAACTGATAGGTTTATAACACTGAGTCTTCTAATCTGTGGCCATTCTTTAATATCTTTAATAAACATTTCATGTTTTTTATTGTAGAAAACATCTTTAATTAGATCTATACCTATATATGTGATCTCTCTTTTTTTAAGATTTATTTTTCTTTATTTATGTATACAGGAACTGGAGTGTAGGCCAGAGGTGTGGGAGGTAAGAGGATACATCAGAGACAAAGTGGGGAGCAGCACAGGCAGATCTACTGAGATATGCTACCGTGGGGAGCAGCAGATGAGACAGGAGAGGTCTGCTGCACCCTGTGTGTCACCTCCCTGGCCAGGGATCAAACTCAGGCCACAGTGGCTGCTGACAGCTTAATAGCACTGAGACTTTAACCCCTTGCACCACCAGGGAGGCCCCTTGATATTTTTAATGTAAATTAGTAATAGTATCTGAGGGTGTTCTCCTTGATAACACTTCAGACAGCAGATGAGAGGTTAATTTTTTTTCCTCCTAAGCCCATTTCTCCAACTCTCTTACAACAAGTGGGTGTTCAGTTCAATTCAGTTGAGATACTACTTGCCTGGAGTTAGCACAGACCCACGGGCTTAGCCCCACAAGCCACCTCCCAGGTCGCTTGTTCTTCTGTGGGGTGGAGGGTCCACACATGTTGTGTCATTCAGTAATTTGCTAGAATGGCTTGTGGAACACAGAAGGGCACTTGATTTACCATTACCTGTTCGTGTAAAAGATACAACTGCGAAACAGCAGAATAGCAGAGATGTATGGGACAAGGTGTGCAGGGAAGGGCACCCTGGCGTGTTAACCAGCTTGAATCTTATCCTTTAGACGGTTTCATGGACGGGCCCTCCCTGGTGGCACAAGGGGTTGGGGCCCAGCACTATGAAGCTATCCACAGCCACTGCAGCACAGGTTCGATCCCCATCTAGGGAGCTGACCCACATGGTGCAGCAGACCTCTCTTGTCCTGCCTGCTGCTCCCCTCAGCAGTGTAATTCATCCATCTGCCTGTTCTGCTCCCCATTCTCTCTGGTGAATCCTCTGGCCTATACCCCTCTGGCCTGTGCCCCAATTCTTGTATGCATAAATCAATAAATCTTCAATGAAAAAAAAAAAGAAGTTTTCATGGAGGCTTCGTTAGCTTAAACCACTAACAATTGCTGATAATGATTAGCTCAGTCGTCTGCTCCTCTCTCCACCCTACAGTGGGAGCAGGGGCGACTGAAAGTTCAGTCTTGTCATGCTAAGGACCCTAAGGATTTTAGCAGTTGCATGCCAGGAACCAGGGAAAAGACCAAATGTCTATTCCCACTGTACTACAGAACTTTATCTAAGATTCATTTTCTGTTGCTGGCATGTAGAACAACAAACGACCTCTCAGAGTGGGCACCACCTGCCTTCCAGGTCTGCAACTTCTTCCAGGACCAGAAAAATGCTCTTTCCAGAGCAGAAGCCAAAGGAGATCATCACAGACCTGAACTCAAAAGCATTGGGTAGTTGGATGACCCAAGCATTCAATTCAGGAAACAAGCATGTTTCTTGAAACCTAAAAATAGCCTTTCCAGGTGACATGAGAACCCACTGAGTATATTTTACCACAATAAAGAACAATTTTAAGAAACAAACTAAAAAGCAGTTTGAGTCACTTCAGATGCCAGAGCATTCAAGTGGGCACTCCTGGCACCTCTTTGGAAGAGTCACTTTTCCTCCTGGGTTTCTGGTTTCTCTTTTCCAAATCTCCTGGTCTATTACTCCTAGTTATTGATGGAGCTCAGGAGGACTTAAGCAATCCCAAATCAGGAAGGTGAAGGCTAGAGGTTTGACTCGTACTGAGTTTTGAGACCTGAAAGAAAAGTGAGGCTTGCAGAAAGGGAAGCTTTCTCTTCCCTGGAGAGCTTTGGTCCTCAGATAACCGCCCCTCGCCACCCCAAGTGTGCCCTTCCCCCAGGGACTTTCTGGAATTGGGCAGAATTCCTGGTAACTAATGGGGACACTTCAGGTTTCCTGATCTGGGGCGTAATAGTCCCAGACTAGGTAACATGCCTATGAATGAGTGAGCAGGCTTTTTATGAAAGTGGCCAATCACATCAATGGGGTTTCTGTAGTAGAACCATCCCAGGATAAATCCAAGTTGAATGTGATGAAAAGCAAAAAAGAAACAAATATTAACATATTGCTGGATTCCATTAGCTGGTTTTGCTTAGGATGTTCACAAGTAAGAGTGGTTCTATTTTTCCTTTCTTGTGCTGTGCTATCTGGTTTAAAAATCAAGGCCATGCTCCATAAAATGAGTTTGCCTGCTTTCCTCCCTTTTTCCCCCTTTTTAAAATTCTTTGACAGTGCAATGATATTTGTAATGGGCTTTGGGTCTGATAAAAACACACCCCCAGAGTCTGACTGCTCAGCAGGGGACTTGGCACAGACAAGAAGACAGACACCTCTTTTCCTTGTTTATAGTCTGTGTTGGCTTATTTATGGTGCTTTTGTTTCTGGGACTGCTCTGCTGGGAGCTAACAGTCTCCCTGAGGAAGTATGAATGAGAGGTGAGGGAAGCCCTGGGCCTGGACAGAGGACTGGGAGAGTGGGGGGCAGGGTCTGGAGCCTGGGGCCCTAGCACCCGCTGCAGCCCTATGCTGCCAGGGTCTGACTCCAGAGAGGCCAGCTGGAGCTCAGTGTGGCCCTTCCCATGCAGGCACCATGTTCCGAAAGAAAAAGAAGAAACGTCCTGAGATCTCGGCCCCTCAGAACTTCCAGCATCGAGTCCACACCTCCTTTGACCCCAAAGAAGGCAAGTTTGTGGGCCTCCCCCCACAATGGCAGAATATTCTGGACACGCTGCGGCGCCCCAAGCCGGTGGTGGACCCCTCACGTATCACTCGGGTGCAGCTTCAGCCCATGAAGGTAAGGAGGGCCCCTGGGACCTCAGCCTCTCCCACTCCACAGAAAATGGAGCCTGGCAAGGCACCTGGAGGAACCACCCAGTCACCAGCGATCAATTATCCCGCTGTTTTCATTCCCAGCTATCAGCATCTGTTCTCTCCTGGGTGACCCAGGGAGGAACTCAAGGGAGGAAGACCCAGGGGAGTCCCTCTCTGCAGGGTGATAGGATTGCCAGATTTAGCAAATAAAAATAGAGCACACCCAATAAATGTGAGTTCTCGAGAACAAATCATTTTTAGTGTAAGTATGTCCCATGCCAGGACCTCTAGCCCTGTGCGGCTGGGGTTCTCACAGACCAGGGGGATTCAGTTGTGTGGACCAAGAATGAGGGATAAAAGAGCCTGGGAGGGGTGGGGTCAGGGCCACCAAGTGTGGAGGTCCGTCCTGGACCTCCGCAGAGGGCCCTGGGGACTCTCAGAGGCCACAGAGACCACAGGTTAGATCTGGAGCCCCTCCCTTGCCTTGCCACAGCTTCCCAAGCTCAGCTGCCCATGCCATTCGATGTGCTGGATTGTGACCCCATGGTTATCACATTGTTTGTCTTGCTGGACTTTGGCACCAGAAAATGGGCTTTTTCCCGAGGCCCTGCACCAGCTGGGCTGACCGGCTGAAGGCCCTGGTGAATGACTGGAAGATTAAGGGCTGGATGAAACGAGGTCCCTACTAGGCTCCCACAGGAGGTTCTCTGACCTGGTCCAAGAACCCCTCTCCCCCGCCTTCCTGCTGCTCACCGCCTCCCCCTCTCCCCTGCAGACAGTGGTGCGGGGCAGCTCCATGCCCACCGACGGCTACATCTCAGGGCTGCTCAACGACATCCAGAAGTTGTCGGTCACCAGCTCCAACACCCTGCGTGGCCGCAGCCCCACCAGCAGGCGGCGGGCACAGTCGCTGGGGCTGCTGGGGGATGAGCATTGGGCTGCCGACCCAGACATGTACCTGCAGAGCCCCCAGTCTGAGTGCACTGACCCCCACAGCCTCTACCTCAGCTGCAACGGGGGCACACCAGTGGGCCACAGGCAGACGCCGTGGCCTGAGCCACAGAGCCCACGGGTCCTGCCCAATGGACTGGCCGCGAAGGCACATTCCCTGGGGCCTGCGGAGTTCCAGGGTGCCACGCAGCGCTGCCTGCAACTGGGCGCCTGCGTGCAGAGTTCCCCATCCGGCACCTCACCCCCTGCAGCCACGGGCAGGCGTGGGACCAAGGCTGCCAGGCATGGCTCTGAGGAGGCTCGGCCACAGTCCTGCCTGGTGGGCTCCACCTCCCGAAGGCCTGGTGGGGAGGGCAGCCCGAGCCCCAAGACGCAGGAGAGCAGCCTGAAGCGCAGGCTGTTCCGAAGCATGTTCCTGTCTACTGCAGCCACGGCCCCTGCAAGCAGCAGCAGCAAGCCAGGCCCGCCGCCACAGAACAAGGTAGGTCAGGCGGGGACACCTTCGGCGGTCACTCTCTCAGGAGGGCAGAGGAGCCTGGCTGGCAGGCATCTACTGGGGAACGCATGCCAGGGACACAGGCCCTGCCCGGCCTCCCACTCACGAGTCAGGTTGGGCAGAGCAGAGGAAACAAAGCAATTAAGAGAAACATTCAGCCTCAGCTGAGCCCTGACTCCCCAAAGGTTCGACACCAGAGTCAGAGGTTGTAAATCAGGCCATTTTCTGGGCCCCTTCAAAGGGATTTACAGTGCACTTCTGCCTCCTGGGATGTGTCTAGGTAGACACTGGGAGGTAGGCGCACTTGAAAATGCACATCTTTTTTTTTTTTTTTAATAATATACTAGTTTATTTTTACATCATGTTGTGCATTCTTGCATCTCAGTTGTAATCTCCGTGGGCTTCCCATCACCAAATCACCCGTGTGCTATCACCATAGTCCAGGAAAATGCACATCTTTAACCCCAAGCCCCCAGTGCTGAGCGATCCCCACCAAGCTGCAGAGAGGGGGTCTAAAGCACGGGGCAGAGGAGGGGCTCTGCCTCCAGTTCCCAGAGTGCTTTCGGCCTCCTGCCCTCCCAGCCCTCCTGAGCCCCTGAGTCCTGCAGAAGCTCCAGGCTCTCCTCCCTGAGGCACAGAAATGTGCCTGTTAACCCCTCTTCCCTTCCATTTTTCAGGGGCTGCTGCTTTAATTTTTCAGTAGCAATTGATCCCAAGTTTGTGTGTCCTATGAAAAGCAATGGGACTGGATTCGCCTAGCTCCAGAGCAGACTTTTGGCCTCTGTGACAGCCTCAAATGCACATCTTTTTCTTATGAAAAACCCTCATGGTGACATTTCATGGCAGGCCGGGGCCGGGGAGAAGGACGCTTCCTGTATCTCCAATGCCCAGTGACACCCTGTCCGTGGTGACAGAAATGTCCTTTCCCTTATGTTGGGTGAGACGACTGGCTGTGGGGGAAGCAAGCCCAGGTGTCTCAAGTGAATCAGGGATGGGGGTGGGGCACTGCGCCCGTCTCTGGCTTACGAGAGCTTTTCAAGCCTGGCATCTCCCTCAGGGACAGCACTGCTTCCTGGGGGACAGGCGGAAATGAGCTCAGGCTGCAGCATGAGGGCTGAGAGTCGGAAAAAGAAACAACTGCTGACAGTGCAAGAGACTGCTCCTCCCTGAGCGCCCTTCAGAACCAGGCGGGTCCTCACATCAGAGATGGCTCCAACGTAGTCTAGCCTACACTGTGGGTGGGGGCAGTTGGGGTGTGGCCTGAACTCTCTTTCTAAGTCACTGCCAACCTGAGACACCCAGGAGAAGATTCTGGGCTTTGTGCACTACCACCTCCTTCCCCCACTGGGACAAAAGGCAGGCTGAGGTGTCCCTGTGAGGTAGAGGTGTGATGAGCAGGTGTGATACGCCCCATGTGAGGAAAGGAAGCATCTGGGAACTGAGGGGTCTCTGGAAGGCTGTGCCCTTGGAAAGCCAGTCCCCAGAAAACTCAGGACAGTGCATACTGCCAGGGAGGTGAGATCTGGAACTCAGTTGCTCTCCCGGCTCTTGGGAGTCTTCTGAGATTTGTCAGCACTGGGATGAGCACTGACCTGCTTATTCTGAGTGCCTGCCAGCACCCCACAGCAGGGGAACAGGCCCTTACGAGCAGCTACTAGGGCTGTCCCCAGATCCTTGAGGAAGGGGTGGTTGTTGTGCGCTCAGAGACACCACAGTTCCAAATCTAGGGTTGTTTCCTTCCCCGCACCTAGACCATTCCTTTCTAGATGAATACTGCCAAGCCAGCTTCTCAAGGCCAACGGAGAGCCCTCTGGGTTGCCCTGGCCTGGGCTTCTCAGCCATACACTACTGATGTTTGCATCAGATGCTCCTTGGTGGAGGGGTGCCCTGCTCATGGTAAAATATTTAGTAGTGGGCCCTCCCTGGTGGCGCAGCGGGTTAAAGCAC